GGTCATCCAGTGTCGAAAGTAAATACTAAGCAGATTTGATAAAGCCTCCATAAGCCGGCTGGAGTTGGCAAATGGACTTTGAGGCTTTCGGGCGCTTGCTCTCAAAATGACAGAGCCAGCAAATAATTATTTGCACAAATACATATGTAGATGTTCTGAGCAGCCAGCCTCGGCTCGAGCATAATTGCCTGTGGCTTTGTCATTGGGCTGTCGACACTTCATTTTGTGCATAACATATATTATATGACAGACAGGCAATGAAATTTGCCTCTTGTGTCGATTTGTGTGTAAAATGTTATATAAATCTGCTTACTTCCTTTGAGCATAAGCAAATGAAGTCAGATTAATCTAGATTTAAATATTAAATGATTTCCCTCTAAAGAAAATACTTATGTCTTCATTTCAAAGTGTTGAGCAATCTTAAAGAGTGTTGGGCAATATTTATGTTAATAATCGATAACTTATTAGTAGAACATGTAAACCTTTAAAAGAAGGAAATTATTTCTAAAGTGAATTTAATTTGAGATACACTCGAATGTTTTCATTAGCTCTCAAACAGTATTTTTCAAATTATTATTAAATATTTTTAATATGCAAGTACACTATGCTAGAATGGAATCCAAAAGCTGCGTGGCATCTAAAAATCAGGTTAAAACTTAGCTCATTTGAACAATATGTTTTTGTGTGTTTTTTTTTTTTGACTGAACTGAACTGAACTGAACTAATTTTACTCTTGCTGCTGTTCCCCCGCTCCGGACCTCGACTCGAACGAGCAACAACAATGCGAATAATATAATAATAAAGCTTTAGCAAAAGTTGAACCATATAAAAATGTATATACATATATACAATGGGTGTGTATGTATGTGTGCATGCGTAAAGGTATGTACACTATAAACGGCTAAAGCTTAAGGTAAGCAATTTGCTCGTTCGTTGGGGCCTTTGAGGGGAGTGGTCTTTCAATTTAATGCTTCGTTACCTTTTTTGGAGCGAATGTTGAAACATTTTCAAGCGGTACTTGGGTAACAAGTTTCAAGTGTGCTCACAAAGAGGCATACGAAAAGAAATCGAGCTACCCGAAAAACTGGTGAGCCTTTGATTGTCCAGGACTTTTGCCTGAAAGCTATCCATAAAACAATAACTGGAAGATTTATTGCATGGCTACCTTTGTGATTCTTTGCCTCTGTTTAGGTTTTATGGTAACATTTTTCGCTTCGAGCTATGGGCGTAGATTTTGCTTAACATAATACGGAAATATTTTGTAAATATTGTAAACAGAAAAAAGTTCAGATCTAATTTCTTGGAATTGAGAGTAGATGGGTTAGCGTAAAGTAATACTGAGAAAATGGTCAAATAGCATTAACAATGTTACTCGATGCCAAGCTCAGTGTGGCCAGAGGCTAAACTGCAAGGAAGAGAAAGGACTCATACTAAAGGAGAGAGAGGAAGCGTGAAGAGTAGAAAGTGGAAAAGAAAAATGTAATTAGCATAAGGCAATAACACTTAAGATGCGGAAAGCAGAGTATGAAAAAGGAAGACATTTCTGTTTTCTACTTAAGAAAGCTCGAAGAAAGGAAGCTAGTTCATGGTTCGTCTAAGAAATATATGAATGATCGTTTAATAGCTAAAGGTGTTTCAATAAAATGAAACCAAGTTTAAGTATTGTTTATCAGAAAATAATTACAAGGTTTTATAGTATTTAGTTTATAAAGATTAAGCTATAAAAGGATATTATTATTAATTATATACTGATTATTATGATTTTCATTATTATTTTATTTTTAATATTATAATATTTTCTAGCAGTTCTGAATAGAGTTAAAAACATAAAGAAAATAATAGAAGAGAAGAAAGTTATAAATGAATGTTATAGTTCGTTCATATAAACTAGATCATTAATGTTAACGTCAACGAACTATATCCGATTTCATCTTGAGACACTCGTTAATTCTTCACATTAAACAGTTATTAGCATTATCTTTGCATTGCCCCAAGCAATCTGGATGTTGATTAATTCAAATTCTAAGGTTTTATTATTTGAGAACGGCTCATATGAACGCCTCTTTCGCACCCCTGGGGCCACTTCACATGCACGGCAGTGGGAAGGCAGCAAATATAATTTGAACAATGTTAATAAAATGAATTTGCATGCATAATTAACTAGATATGTCCCCTGCAATTTGCTGATCCATCTAGCCATGAGCTGACAGCTCAAGAGCATGTGTGACATTAGCGCGAACATCACCCTAAATAGCTCATTCATATCAGTGGGTGGGCCGCCACCATGCCCACTGCTTAAAACGAAATTAAGGCAATTGGGAGAATGCCTAATGTGAGGCTAGCATATAAATGGCCCACTTCTGTGGTCTTGCTTATCTTCAGTTCGCATTTAAAGCGGCGTTTTGGCGTTTTGTTTAGTTAAATTTTTTAAAATAAGTATATTCAAGGTAATTTTTATTCATAAATGAAGCAGTTATATCATCATTATTCAAAGATTCAACGAGTTATATTATTATACATATGTCAAATATTCCAGCCGTAGTTGAAAACTTCGTTCTATTTTCAGCAAAGGATTATTCAAGTATTCTCTGCTTCGCCATTTACAGCTTATTAAACTAAGGAACTTGCTAATGATAATAAAAAAATTCAACAGCATTTCCCTAGGAGTTTCTACCTTCTTCTACATTTCGCCTTGAATAAACTTTTATTTTCTCATTTTTTGCTGAGCTCCTCCATCGCTCATCCAGTCTTTCAGTTTATTAGCTCACTATTACCGCGTTCCCTCGATTATGGCTTTAACTTTGCATTCTTTAAACAGTCTTTCTGGATTGTTTTCATTCCTCTCGTATTTCTCACATTCAAGTTATTTTTTTTTTCATTTTTTTTTTACTTCTCGCGAAACTTGCCGCAAAAGTGAATAAACCTTTATGGCTGCAGCAGACGCGTTTGTTCTTTTAGTGATTCACGGCCTTTTGAATTTGTATTTATGATTTGCACTACGCCGTTAGCCAACTTTGAGTTGGTCTCATTTTGCCCAATTAAGTTTTTCTCTGGCCATAAAGAAGGCTAGTGGCTTCTCCATTACCAAATTAGTTGTGGCCTTTCCAGAACATTGGATTCATTTTTTTACAGAGCTATGCCTGTAATTTAAAGCGGCCAGCCGCAATCAGTAATTCTGTATATATGTATACATATATGTTTGTCTTTTATCACAAGCTAGCTTGGCTTGAGTTAGTTAAGTCTGTTTTATTGAATTTTGGCTTCAATGAGATGCCTTGTCTTGCACTTGGCCAATTGGAAGCAAGTCAAGCATCTCTCAACTGGAAACAGTGTAGGCAACAGTAAAGCCTATTACCTATTATTGCCTTTTCATAATTAATTGAGTCGAATAGGTATGCAGTTAATTAAAATGAATTATAAATTCAAAGTTGAATAATTTTCTCATTGTCTAAACTGAGAATTTTGCATTTATAATACATTTCTATTTCAATTAGCAGTAAATCAAATTATCATTAGCATCGACTTTGTCTAAGTTCCATGTCAATGTCAATATAAAATCTTTATATACATTTTTAAATATATTTTTTAAACTTTTTAATATAGATTTTAATAGTTTTAAACTTAAATATTTTTTTTATTAAATATTATATACATCTATAACTATTTTTTTACCGATTTACAATTCTGATTGTCTTAAAACACGTTTCGGAATATATATTCCGTTGTAAAAACTTCGCATTAAAAACGACATTTAGCAAAAAAGCGTTCAATTTGGTTTACACTTCATTTTGCTTGAATAAAAATGTTAATTTTTTGTAGAGGTAGTTAAAACTGTATTCACTGTCCTCCTCTTGACTCTTTAAATATCATCGATTGCGGCAGCTGCCAAAGTACCTTCCTCGCTTTTTTTTTTTTTTTAGAGTGATGGATAAGGTATCAATAATTCGAAAAAAGTTGCGATATTTTTTACAGCCAACATCAGCATTCTTTCGCTAGCCCGCGGGCACAGCGAATGGCGGGGGAAGAGCTGAATAAAGGAACGCCATGGAGGATCAGCAGTAACATCCTTCACATCTTTTACGTTGTCATTGATGAATTTAGCATTTGGTTGTCAACGCTTTTTAACTGCTCTACTTTTATATTCAGAGAGCAGAGGGTATAACAATGGTCGTGAAATGTTTAAGTCATTAAAAATGAATATATCGCACTCTGGGCAAATAATAGGGTAGCTATGGAGTTCAGCTTCTGTGGTTCGGATCAAGACCAATTTCAATAAATATTAATAAAAATAAATTTAACATGACAACAAAATTTTTATGTTAGATTACATGCATATTACATACTTATTGCATACTTATAACATATTACATATTGCATACAAACGATTTTAATATTCATTATAATGAGAGCATATTAATAGATAGAAGCAAAGGTATTTTTTTTTCGCTTACTTAAAATTGTATTCATCTCATTATATTCATATTTTAATTTTAGATTTTTTTAAATAGATACCATAAATGAGAAAAGTTTTTCCCAGTTAGGGTATTTCTGCTTTGTCTAGCCTTAAAGTTTTATTTCTTTTGTTCTTTAGCTTTGTATTTTTGTCATTTTTAATATGCAAGCCATTTGCCATAGATATGCGGCTATTGAGATACTTTTTGTAACTTTGTGCGTGTGTGTGTGTGTATGTGTGTGTAAGGGAAGGCGGAGCATATTTCAAAGCGGGCAGCAACTGGGGGCTCGCCGTTTTACGGTTTCATTGGGCTGCCATTAACCATAAAATGGCTGTCATCCCAGATGGGCGAGAGCTGCGCCATTTGCCCATTTGCCCGTCTTTTGAGAAAAGAGCACTGTTTCGTAATTATGCTCTTAAAAAATGCATAAAAAGTCTTTAAAAATTGCTTGACAACTTGAATTTGTATCTATTTTTTGTGGTGTTGATATTTCCTTATGCTTCCTACATGTTTTTAACGAAGTTGTTTCATTTCTTCTCCTTGCAGCGCTACTTGATTGCCATTGCGTTTTGTTTTGAAGGTAAGTGTAGTAATTTTTCTCATTTGATAACTAAATTTAGTTAATTATTCCAATCAAACTAAACTTTATAGGAGAAATATTTTCTAACTAAATTATGTTATATTTAAATTTTTGGGAATTTCATTTAATCTGTTCACAGAAATATGTTGTTAAAAACTTTACGCTGTTGGTCGGATTGCTATTAGAGGTTGAATTTCGTTTAAAATGTTCAGGGAAATTATAAAACACTTTTTTCTACCATTTAACTTTGTGACCTCAGCGCGCAGCCAACTCATTAGGAAAACCCCAACCCCTCTCTCCCCTCGCCTGATTTCTGCCTTTGGTCGGTCGGCAGCCAAGAGAAAAAAAATATAACTGGCTCGGCGAATTTCTTGGCCGAAACCAAAATTTTAATTGCACACGGAAAATTTAACGCCACGGAATATGCAGCGAATTTCGCCTAATTGCAATTGCCTTGCACTAAATTTACCCAACTGACCCAATGAAGCATGCCACGCCCATTACATAATCGCCCATCCTGACAATCACCGAAGTAGAAAACGCAGCGTCAAACGTAAAGCCAAAATGTAATTTAAAATTTTTGTGCGACGTTAGCACGAGACTCTCTCCAATTTCGATTTGAATAGACTTGACTCGGGTAGAGTATGATGTGGAATTGGGCATAGCAGAGGCAGACCATAAAATAGAAACCGAGTAAAGTGGTATTACGTTTAGTTCCCTTATATTGCTTTGGGTATTTGCGTACTTTGGTTGATGTCAAATTAATGTTTCTGAGACTCGGTGCCAATAAAGAAATATGTATTAGAAAAAGGAAAAGTATTTTATGTTATTGGTATATATTTCAGTTAAATTAGGCTAGGAAATGAATAACATTTTTCATTAAAAACGGTTTTTATCTTTAATCTATTATGATTTATATTAAAAAATGAATATGAAAGCAGAGAATATTTAAGCCAGAGAGGAGACGTAGCCAGTGTTGGAAAATGAGCTATGGAAAATTTGAATATTTTTAAAGAAAATAAAATTAATTTAATATGGCTAGTAAACGAAAGGAAATACATTTAACTTATTTGATCTGCGCAATATACTTTTGCTTGAACTTCTAGTGCATTGAAGCTTCGGCAGCTTCTACTTTTCTTCTTCGTCACTTTTTTATTTTTGCTCAAATTGCCTTAAGGCTCTTTGATTAAGCATCGCAAATAATGCTAACAAAACCGTGAGAGAAGTTTTGAGGCAGTTTGATTGGATTTTTGCCTGTGTGCAATGGCACTTTGTTGCATGTGTGTGTGAGAGTGTGTGCGTGTGCGAATGTGACTGAGTGAATATGGCTTTTGGGTGCCAAGGTAACGTAACTTTTTGCTCAAGCTTAATTAACTGCTTAAATAGCTGGCATAGCTCAATTAGGCAAGCGCGTGGCCGGACTTAAAGTGGACCCCTCAGACGGGGTACAGAGGAGGGCTTCGCACGCAGTTTAATCGCCTAACGCGCATATTGCGTTACCCACTATTGTGTGAAGCCGTCAATGTTGGTCCACCCTACAGCCAGCCCAACCTTTGTTACGTCAATTATGCAATGGAGCGTGGCACAAGAGCCGTTGCGCTGCATTGTGGGGATAAAGGGATAGAGGGGAGGAGAAAAGGCGGTAAAGCACGTTACGAGCTGCACTTGTTGCCACCGAAGTTGCAAGTGGCAACTTTGACAGCGTTAATTTACATGCCTGGCCTTCTACTGCCGTTAAGCCCTCTCCAAGCTCACACACATACACACACACACGCTGTAATTAATACGTTTGTGTGTGGAATACCATTGCAATGGCATGCATATGCATGTGAGTGTATGCGTTTGCATTGAGAATTTCGAGAAGCAGCCATGTTTTCAGTGCAGATTCGATTTTTTCGTGTTGGATAACTTTTTTTTTTGCTTAGCAATCTGAATAGGGGCTTCTGCCCATATTAATCTAATAATCATATGAAAACCGTAAATGGTAGGAATAATAATAATAT